TTTAGACCGTGCAAACTAAATTTAGACCGTACAGTTTGTACACTTATTCGAAATATAAGATATTAAAGCTTAAATGTTTTAAATACTGTTTTCTCAAAACAGAACACTTCGTGCTTTGAGATAAGATGGCCAAGACCAATTTGATCAGTTAATGTGTTTTTTATGCATAGTGCTTCAGCAGTTGACATATATAGAGCTCAGCGGAAACATATAAATTATAGCATCTGACCAATGAGAATTTCGTGTCACGATTTGAGACGCAGATATTCAAATTCATTAGTCATCGATGCAGGCTCTCAATTCAGCTTGAGAGCCTGTTCGCAGGCTAGTATAATAGTGTTATAAAATAATAATAGTGTTATCAGTAAAATGTTGTATTATAAATAACCACTTAATATAATTATATTGTTGTAATAATCTGTTGTATATATGAAACTGATCAGTAAGGACCATTGACTTTCTTTAGCAAGTCTTTATAGGCCATTGACATTGTTAGTATGAAACATGGACTATTGAAAACCAGCTCCTAATGTCCTAATGCTGAATGGTTACAGTGTCTAAAGAATTTTAATTAAAGATTAAAGCTCGCGAAAGATTTAACTGGTTGAAACTTCGTCGCAAGCTTTCGTAAGCTTGCAAGCACTTGCGACAGGCTGTAAAGACCCAATCGAACCAGACAGTCAGATAGCCGTCTTGCGGTGGCATGCATTTCGTTTAATCGGAACCCGATTAATCTTGTTTAATCGGGTTCCTAATTTGTTAACTTAGGGCACTTTCCATTTAATGGCCTGACCGGTCAGACCCTGGTCTATGTTTCACAAATATCTAGCGAACATTGACCGCATTCTCATTTTATCTAAATGTTCTGGTTCCGAAACCCAAACGTTTTGTGTTCCATTCAACAACTGACCGGTATGGCCATGTTAATGGAAAGCGCCCTTAGTGCCGATCCAATCGTATGGTTTTTTGTGCATTTGCGCGAATTTGCGTCTTCTATATTTTAATAATAGTCTATTGCATTAACAGACGAGGTAATAATAACAAATCGGCTCACCTGAGTCAAACTGTTTTGTTCGCCTTCCAAATCAATCGGATCAACTGACTGGTTTACAACTGATGACGAGTCTTAGCTTGATCTTGGCGTACTAGTGGAGTTATTCTCGTTTGCTGGTATGGTTTTGTGGCTCGCCGTCTACATCTGATTACTCCGATCGATAAAGCCTTTTCACCAATGTCTCAGTTTTTCCTAGTTTATCTCCAATGGTTCGAATAGAAGATTCAAACCGCGAGCAAACGTCACTAATTTTATTTACCAATGTTTCACTTTTGTCAGCACAGTTTCTGCATAAAATATGCGAGGGTAATTCTGGAACTGCGAATTTTTTTCCAAGTATCAATTCCAAATTTGAACACACTTTGCTCTTCCGTTCTCCGCCAGTAATTAGCTTTCTTCTGTAATATGTATTTTCAACAACATTTGCGCACAGCAAACAAATTTTGTCTTTTGACGATGGAGAAATGCACGCTCGATGTATCGTTTTTGTTGGAGTTGTAGTTTCAGTCATTTGGGAATGCAGTGTCAGTGGATGAATGCAGGTGCAAAGCGAAGTGACAAATATGCCGCAAATGCGATTAGATAATCTAGTTCAAATTACTTTTTAACATTACTTAATGCCCTTAACAACTCAAGCCCCTGTTGATTGATAGCCAATAACTTATTCACTTTTTTTGGCGTGAAATGCAATTGAAAACCCTGCAAGTATGACAAGTCGACCTCATGTGAGTGACTTCGCGCTCGCTACTTGCGTTTTGGAGGTCGACTTGTGGCAAGTCTACCCAAGCAACACCTCTGGCAAAAGCCACAGGTCGTGTTTATACTTAATTTCCGTTATCGTCGGCTATGTCTAGTCCTGTGATCAGTTTCCATGGAAACAGATAGGTATTTGGGCAATTGATGTCCAACATATCGACAAAAAATGACAATCATATCGTATTTTGTTACTTTTTAATTAATTTTAATGTTTTTTTCTATTTTCTTACTCCTTTAATCAACCCAGTAGAATATAAATTAATGGGTAAACACAACAATCAGGCAATACAGAACAGGCAATCTCATACCCAGGCTCTTTCTTCTTGGATAACTAGCAATGGGATTTGCAGTACTGCAGTATCAGCCATTTTTTCGTGCTCTTCAGACTTTTAGCTTTAGAGGAGCACACCCCACAGAGGGAATGGTCTCAGACTCCTGGCACACCACTGACAACAATTGCCTTATGACATTCAATTATAGCTGATGCCATCCAGTCTAACATTTAAATATGACGTAAAATACGTAAGTTCTTTTGTCAAAGATAGAAACCAATGAATGGTTCAAAACTAGACAGGATATTCTTTTTTAGACGGCGGGTCTAAAACACAGGTTGCAGGTCACAGCTACGTCTAAAAAACGTGCCTGTTCGCGGGTCACAGAGAATAGTGTATCACAATAGACAATTCCTATTATAGACTAATTCTAGGCAAGGATACGCAAATAAATCAGCTACAGCTAGAAAGAGCATACTAAAATGAGTAAAATTACAAAGTTTGGTTGCGAAATGTTGTATAATGCGGAAAATATAGCCTTGCAAAGTTCGCAAATTTTGTAAAATTTTCCGCATGTGATACAAAAGTATACAACATTTGCAAGGTTATATCTTTCTAGCTGTAGTGATTTATTTGCACATCCTTGCCTAGAATTAGTCTATAATAGGAATTGTCTATTGCGATACACTGTTCTCTGCAAACAGGCATGTTTTTTAGACGCAGCTGTGACCAGCGACCTGTGACTTGCGACCTGTGTTTTAGACCCGCCGTTTTTTAGATCTGAACTAAAGATTGCAACATTAATCAGGTTATAGAACTGCCATTCTTGAATGTGGAAATTGTATATTTTTGGTTTTACCAACTTACCTGTCAGGGTTATGTGACTTTTCCAATGAAGAGAATGCAAGTGGGAAATAACCACTTGATTGCCAAAAAGATTGGTAAGAGCCATTTGGTCAGGTCTTTCCTCTGCTGGAGCTGCCATGATTGTTGGGTTGCTCTACCAGAGTCGGAATGCACGGTCTCAAACTTGCTGACCAGGAATTCTGCAGCTCTTGTTTTCAGGTTGTTGATTTGCTTCCTGCTGAAATTGAATTTTCGTGGGGGACCAAGCAATGATAGATATCCATGCATTTCTTTCTTGCAGGCATCAATTCACAATTTGCTCTAATACAAAGCATTATGGTAGTTTAGTTACCATGGCAGAATTTTGCATGATGGCGGCTGTTTACTTTGCATATGCGTGCACGGTCAATAGATGAAATTTGCACCAGTAATATTTTCGTTTAGTTTTCAATAAAAGCTTTCTGAGATTCTGTGAGGTTTGTTTTAATCTTGAAGTCTAACACAGGATCTCCAAGTGTCATTGATTTTGAGATATTTAACATGACAATCAGCCACTGGCGAAGATGGCTTCGATTGGACATGAACCAACACAAATTTTGACTTTTCACACATTTTAAAGGTGAGTACATCGCTAAGACACACTTGCTCGTCACTTGCAAGAGGCAGTTCTGCGATCAAGTCCTAGTTAATAGTTCTAGAGGCAAAAGTGTTTTCACATCGAGTCTGCTTAAAACAACACATGCTTGATCAAGTGTTCAATTTACAAACCAAAACATTAAGGACGTTTAGCGTGAAAACTATCCATTCAAAGTATCAGCTTTTTCATTTTCAAAGATTTAAACTGTGTTAAACAGTACTAGCCCTTACGAAAATTTCCTATAGGAATTCCTACAGGAAAAATTTCTATAGGAATTTTCCCTACACAAATTCCTATAGAAATTTAATAGGAAAAATTCCTATAAGAATAGACAATTCCAGTTATCGACTAATTTTTTATCTAGACAAGAAAGACAAAATATATCATCATAGCTCAAAAGAGCATCCTAAAATTAGTAAAATTGCAAAGTTTGGTTGCAAAATGTTGTAAAATACGGAAAGTATAGCCATGTGAAATTAGCAAATTTTCAGTATTTTAGTATTGTGTACTATATATTAATACTCGGTATTTTAGTATTGCATAATTTCACATGGCTATATTTTCCAATCCTATAGGAATTCCTATAGCCATTTTCCAATCTGATATAGGAATTTTTATTCCCCATAGGAATTTTTTGACCATTTGCAATTCCTATAGGAATTCCTTT